TACAGCAATCGACTTTACACAAAAACGGCCAGCACTGCAGTTACAGGATCCACCTATTCCAGTAACGTTCTCAGCAGTGGCAGAGGTTTGTTATATCATAAACTGATCCAGTGTTACTGGAGGTTTTCCTCCTGCTTTGATTCTGTTATGTAGAGGAGAAGAGATGTTCTGACACGCTTCATATCGGGATCTGCAGCAAATCTTTATGGACTGACTTTTATAGGGAAATAAGATTTCCATTTTATCTATAATAGGATTCATGTTTAGTCCAGAACAGATTGAATCATCTCATTAATTTTTAACCGACTTTTAGATGGAAACTAACTAAAGTAATTAATTTGTTTCCAGCTGTTGCAGGTGACTCGGTGGATTCATCATGGAGTTCGTATCGTTTACTTTCTAGACCGTCCCCCTCTTCTTCAAAGCCGCTGTCGTCCTCCAGAGAACAGGAGCCAAAGGCTGAGCCCAGCCTCTCAGGTCTTGGAGAAAGGAGGGGCAGGACTCCTGGGCTGGTCTCCTCACTGTGTAGGCACTCCTCGTTTGTGAAAAGCTTTCAGATATTTCAACGTGTTGTTAAACTCATGTAGTTTATTCCTTCTTTCTCTTCTATTAGATCAAACAGACAGGGTGATGTCCACATATGCACAAGGAGCTCGACCCAAAGAAACTACCTCCTTCTCTGCATCAAGGCAGAGCTCTCAGACCCGCCATGCCTCGTCCTCTGCCTCTCAGCAGATGCCATTGCGCCTCCATGACCTGGGCAGCAGAAACGCTGCTCGTTACTCCACTGCCTCATCCTCTCTCCGCTCCACTCAGGAACAAGCCCGAAACCCAGAACCGTGCGTTTCCCCTCCCCACTCCTCCCACAACTCCTGGAATCCCACCCCCCTGAGCAGACCAGAGCCCAGCCTCCCACGGCCGTTAGGCGAAAGTGGAGAGCTGGGGGGGCGCAGCTCCACGCGGCACCTGTTGTCTCGTCTCTTTTCTCGCTGCTCCAGCCAGGACTCGTCCAGCGGCTCGTCCAGCGTTCGTTCACTAGAGGATGACACTCCATCGACTAGCGGGGAGTCCGTGGACAGCGACGAGGGAGCGGGGACGGTCGGCAGGGACCTTGATATCAGCGGAGCAGCGGAAGCCTCAGATGGCCTCAGGAGTCATAGAACCAGCCTCCCTCCTATTCAGGAAAACAATACGGGTCATATGGGCCCAGCCCGGCCCAGAATGGCTCCTCTGAGAGAGTCCTCTGCAAGCAGCGGAGCAGGAGGGAGGAGCTCATCCTGGTTCCTTTCCTCCCTCCGTGGCCGCTGCCCACCTCTGCTGTCTCGCCTAAGGAGATATGCAAGAGAAGATGGTGCGCAGGCAGCCTCCCGCTCAGAGGAAGGCTACAGCCGTCCACATTTACTCAGCAGGTGGGATGACGTCGTGTATAAAGCCTTGCAAGATGATGAGGATGAGGAGGAAGATGATGATGATGAAGAGGAGGAGGAAGAAGGGGCCTTTGCTTTGGATGCTTTTGCTGACTCTTACGCTGATAGAATAGAGGACGAAGCATTGCCTGAGCTGGAAGCTGTGTTCTCACCCCGCCGCAGGCTGGGAGTGCTGGAGAACATTGTGGCCCCTGAGGGCCGAGCTGAGAGGCAGCTGGAGGGCCAGGAGGAAAAGAGTCTCTGCAGCAGGGATCAGGAGAAGCTGCGCAGGATCAAAGAAAAGTAACGAAACATGAGCTCCCACTACTTCTCATCTTTGGTTATATTTCCCTGTTTGTTCATCTCTAATGGTTTCTGGATCTAGATGAACTGTTTCAGCACAAATGTCTTTTTGTTTTGTTTTTCCCTCCTTTTGCTGCTGCAGACTGTTAATGGAGGACTCTGACGAGGAGGAAGGAGACCTGTGCCGAATCTGCCAGATGCAGGAGGAGTCCTCTACCAACCCCCTGATTCAGCCGTGCAGCTGTACAGGCAGCCTGCAGTACGTCCACCAAGAATGCATCAAGAGGTGGCTTAACTCCAAAATCAGCTCAGGTATGTCTCCCCCATATCTGGACTAGGCAAGAGAATATTTAAAGGAATTACAGCAAGCCAAAAAAAGGACATATTTAAAACCAACTTTCTAATGTGTTAAACCACAATATTGTTGGAAAAAACTATTTAGCTTATGTTTTGCTTACAAGGTTTCCACAGGTTTGGTTAAAAAGTTTTAAATTTTAAAGTTGAACTATGTAAAGCTTATTCAAATCCTTAAAAATTCATTTTAACAAGACTTTATGTTAGTAAGTATTTTATTTCTTTCACCCGGGGAATCCTTCCTCAAATGCACAATAAAAAGCTGCAACGTTTCTTTAACTGCTTTATGATTGTATTTAAAAACAAAATAATCTAACAAAAACAAAAAGCCAGGTGGAATTTCTGGATTATTTAAGACTGAAATAAAAGGTTCCAAAATAACAAATCCAAGCAGAAAGACTTTTCCAAACCCATTTTTTTTCTTTTTTTCTTCTGAGCCAACCTTGAAGCGTAGTCTAAAAGTGCTTTCAGACCGAGCATGTCGTCCGCATCGGAGAGTTCACTGCTCTGCTTTTCAGATGCTCAGGGTTTAAGCCCTGATCCTTCAGCTGCATAACAGCTCAAGTAAAAACTCAGAGATTAAACTTGTTTTTATTCAGTGGAGTTACTTTCAATCGGAGCAATTACTTTAAATGTCACTGACTATTCACAGGAAGGTAAATGAAGTTTCTTACAGAATCCCTTTATGGCTCCGTGTTTGAAGAAAAGAAGAATTTTCTTAAATTCAGCTTTGTGAAACTTTCCTAAAATGTGAAATCCTCAGGCCTTTAACAAATAACAGAAATGCCTCTGCAGACCTTTTAGTAGCCTCTGTCACTTTTTTTTTATTTTATTTTGAAAGCTTTCAGATACCTTCATTCCTCTTCACTTGTTAAAACTCTGTTAATATTTTATTACAAATTATCTGCTATTGATGTCTATTAAAGTCAAATTTTCTCTCCCAGGAAGCAACCTTGAAGCAATCACTACATGCGAGCTCTGCAAGGAGAAACTGCGCTTGAACATCGAGAACTTTGACGTTCAAGAGTTATACAAGACTCACGTCCAGGTGGGTCGTTGTAGCTGCAGTGAGAAACGAAATGACCAGCTCACTGTTAAACCTGGATGATTTTATGTAAAGAACTAAAGAGTATTTTCTGCTTTAAATCTAATCGCATTCATTTATTTTTTTTTGTTGTTTTTGAAAGGAAAAAAAAAAAGCAAACAGTTATGTTCTTTTCATTCTCCACAGTCGAGATTTGAGGAGTTCATCAGCAGCGGCTTCTACCTGGTGGTGCTTCTGCAGTTCTGTGAGCAGCGCTTCTCAGATGTCCTCAGAGAGGTGGACACAGCCAGGGTGAGGAAACTCGCATTCACCCGTTGGATTACATCATTTTTCTTTCTGCTCGCTAAGAGAAACCTTTTATCGTTTTTTTTTTTTTTGGGATTGGCCCACACGCATCACGGGATTTGCTGTGTTTGCTCGGTGTGCATTAGTCGTTTAACAGATGCACACTTAGAATGTAAAATATTTCACCTTGTGTCCGACTACAAATAATCTTTTCTTTCTCATCAGTTATTCTGCCTGGTGAATATTCTTGAACACATGGACAGTCTTGAAAGTATGTTACCCGCTCCTCATCTCTTGCAGAAATCCTGTAATGTTATTAAGTTTAGCATTGTTGTTGTTGCCGTGGGGGATAAAAAAAACAACCTCTAAAATGATGTGTGGAAATGAGGGCTACACGGTTTTAACTCAATGTTTCTGAATTGCAGCTCCAAGTGGAGAAAGTGACGAGGAGGGGCAGGACAGCCGGCCGTCCATCGACTTCTCTGACCTGGACGAGGACCTGGATGATTACTGATAAAACATGAGGTTTTAAAAGTAGCTCACATGATGGGAGCTTTCAGAGCTACTCCACGCTGTTTTGTAGCGCACTCGGTTTCTGCTTTGACGATGTCTTGCTCATCTTGTTCGAGTGCATTTGCAGCAAGAGATAAAAAATGCACTGAACAGGTCTCGCCATTGTCTCTGCTGGCTTTTGCACATAGGGAAACTTGGGATGAATGAATGCATAATATTTTGAATAGAACCACTTTGTCTGTTTTTAATTGTGCACTTTATTTTCACTGGAATATTTAAAGTTTCTAATGGTTATACCACAAGTGCTTTAATGGTTAAATGAGGACAAGTAAGTTTTACTTCAGCTGTGATGAAATACGTTAGGTTAAGTCAGAATATGAGCTGTGGTAACAACTTTTCCTTTCTAAAAGTAAACAAAACGAAAAAAAAAACTCCCAAAAATTTCTCACAACTTGTGTTATTTCCTTTGAATGCTCCATGTATTTGAATTGTTTTAAGCTTTTCGGTTTGGAAATAAAGATCAATTGCAAACTAAAGTGTCTGGTTCATGTTTAAGTTCAGAGGTGTCCTTGGAGGTTTTAGAAATTAAAAAAAAAAAAAAAAAAAAAAAAAAAAAACTTGAACTTTTAATATAATTCTCTTAAAATAAAGAATTTGAAGTCAAGCTAGCAGAGCAACTCCAATGTACAGTTACCAAAAACACATTAGCTGGAATACCAGATATAAAATAAATGATAGTGGAGAAAAATGACAGCAGCAGGTTAAATTATTAAATAGTTAGATGGGTTGGAGATGTATTCGTACAATAAGCTCAGACATGTTTGTCCTTTATTTGGGCTTTTAAGGATGTATGAGTGTACACTAACATTTAAATCTGATGCCAAAAAGTGGCTCTTCGGAACTTATTCCAAAACACTCAAATATAGAATCAAATATATACATAACCTTTATCACCCCCCAAAATTCAATAAAACTGCATGCATTGATTCCATCCATTACATTTTAAGTATGAAACCCTAGAGCCACATCCATTGCAGGTACTTTGAATTTCCTGAGATTTAGATGATTTAAATGAGCTGAAGATTTAAAAAAATCAGCACCAGTGGGTAACATGTAAAATGATTTTATTCAAAGATCACTGTACCTGACACAAAGTGATGTTTTCTATTGGTAAAAATCAAAAGTTTGCATTTCGATATCAGTTGGTTAACAAGCCAAACTGAAGCAGCTGCTCAATAACAGCTTTTAACATTCACATGCCATCTTTGGTTCATATATTAAAAAAAAACAATATTTACAAAGCATTTACAGCAAACAGTGCAATCTGAATAACTGTGGATCTCCCCCAAACCTTGTGCTTTAGCATTAAACTGGAACTGTTCCCCATCAGCATATTAAAGTGCGTTCCTGATCAGTAGTAATGTGCATAGATAAGAGAGCTGCAGAAAATAAACGGACAGTTGTTGATTCTCAGACTAAGGCAGTGATCTTAATCAGCAGAAATTATATACTGACACAACTACTACAGTAGCGCAGCATCTACATTAGTTAGATCTAGGGCATTGATGAGGCTGGAAGGCACAAATTTTTTTGTCAAAGATGTTTAAGTGTTTATAGGTACAGTTCAACTGCTTAGTTTGAGATCACTTAGTATTTAACTTATAAAAACGAAGCCAATTCAATTCAAAAACCTTTTAAGATAAAATCCACAGCTTGCAGCTTCCTCATTCTAACCACATAGAATGAAGCTACTCCTCTATAAAACACTTCGGGTTAAAGAAAATAAACAGATGTTCAAAATTTGCGACTGAAAGTTAACATTAGTTTGAATATTCTCAGTTATAAACAAAAACAACAACAGGTTTGGTTTCTCCTACTTGGAAGTAAGTCGTTAGTCAGTGCATTTCCAGCCATTAAGACCGAGACGTTTTTGTTTCTTCAAATCCGCTCAGAAGCTTTACTAATTGAAACAGCAAACAGGGGAGAAACAAAGCCTATTAAAAATGGCTGGGCTTTTCTTTTCTGCAAAATGGCTCGACGAAAATTCAAACCATTTGATGCATACTACGGTGATGGGAATGATATTACTTCATTTTTTGCTTACCTGATTAGTTTGTGCGCTGTATGCAGCACTGTTTGCAAAATACTGGACACTGATGGCAAAGGAGGGGGTGCATTAATGAAAAAGGTAGATATATTTGTCCCTATAGTTGAACTGAGAGGCAAACTACAGATGAGTCACTCATTGTAAACACCAATAGTTAATTATTACATCATCCCTTAACCTTTATATCACCTCTCTGACCAAATTAAACACAGAATATTTAGAGATCTTAAGAGTTTTTTTTGTTACTTTTTTTAAGGCAAGAACAAGAAAAATAAATAAAAGCAAAAAAAAAAAAAAAAACTAGGAAGGCCGGATTCATTTTTTTGGAGTAGTAGAGCGTAGATGCAGGCACGTCAGTCATCCCTGAGGCGGATCACTACAACAAGCTCATTCAGGGTCTGTTATTATACTGGTGGTGTCTGTGTCATTGAAGGTCCTCTCGTAGCGGACCGTCGTCGACAACAACGAGCGTTTCTTCTTGTAGATGTAAAAGCCGACTGCTAAGATGAGAGCAAGGATGACTATGATGAAAAAACCCAGTGCCACTGGTGAGCCTGCAGACTCTGAGAACCAAAGAAAGCGTATTAGCATTTCTATACAAAACCTACTCAAACTGAATGTTTTTAATTCAGCTGAATGTTAAGATACTCACTTGCTGCAGTTTTGCAGACAACACGGCTTTTTGTGGAATAACAGCTGGCCGGTTTCCAGTCTCCATCATCTCCTGCCATCATGACAATACATGCTGATCCCGACCGCCCCCCTGTGGCCTTCAGGTTGTTGTAAGACGGAGTCGAGCTGTCCTGCCAGGACACAAGGTTACCTGGGAGGATGGAATAGATAATGATGAGGGAAAACTTCAATGCAGAGATCACAAATTAAAACGTTTGGCGGAGTGGCGGCCGAGTGGTTAGGGCATAGAGCTCGGAATCCAGAGGTTCTGAGTTCAAGCCCCACTCACACAGACTGCCACTCTGGGTCCCTGAGCAAAGATCCTTAACCCCGCAGGCACCGGACAATGGCAGCCCACTGCTCCCCATGGGGATGGGTTAAAGTTCATTGTGTTGCTCTGTACTTGTGACAGTGTAATGACCAAAAACAAGAATGATCACAGCTACCTTAGTTGCACCGGGGGTTTACAGTGTAAAAACACTCCCAATAAAGTAAATTATTAATTTGCACTAATTCAAATAACACAAAACCGAAAAATTTAAATATTAAATAAAGATGTCCTAAACGTAAAATAAAATATTGATTTTTTTAAAAACATATAATTAAAAAAGCTCCATCAGGCATGTCTACCCATGCTATTTATCAATATAAAGATATTTTTGTATATGTTTAATATTTTATTCTATTGCTTTTGTCAGTTTCAATTTATTTTACTGGCAGTTTATTTTTTTCTTCTATCTTTAATGGAAGAATATGTAGACTTTCTAGCAAAACTCTACTTACATCACCCAACATTCACAATAAAAACAAATTTTCCTACTTGTTTTGTAATATTTATTTTTTCCAGAATGTCTTTCATAGGTTGTGTTTAGACTATGGCAGCAATTTCACTCATTGAAAAAATAGCCAACTATATATATTCCTACAGTTAAACTTTTTGCTCCCTCAGTGGTATTTATGTCTTTTAAAAGAGGTGAGAAAAATATGTTCCAGCCAGGACGGTTTGCAAACTAAACTAAGTTGCAGCAGATCTGTCAGGAAGAAAGAGTCAAAACTCCAACAAACTGTTAGAAGGTTGTAGAAGGATTCTAAAAACACCATCAAGGGATATAAATCAGTATGAAATAACCTTCAGTAAAACTTTCTTTTATGTCTTGAAATGTATTTTTTTTTACAGTTTTTAGACACTAAATAAACAAACCAAAAACAAACATATCTGATCTAAGCCCAGTGTATTTGGCCTGCAGATAAACCCTAATGTTACAGCTGTGGCAAGCATTATGAGGCGTTCAGGTGCACTTCGGTCTGAACTGTTCAGTGAGGGACTTTTAAAGCCAATGGGAAATAAAAGCTAAATTTATGCTGTGGATTTTGAGAAGAACCATCTCATAGTTTTGATCTAATATTCTGAAGACTTCTTTTCTGCATTTCCAAATCTTCGTTCATGAAGCCTAGTTTTCTTAATATGCAAACAGAGCTTGAGTTCTTCAGAGCGGAAAACTGGGTAGAAAGTTTTTTACATTCAAGAAAAATTCTCTTTAATAATATTTACCTATGACAAAGCTGTGTACACCAATAAGAGACCCCCTATTGTGAAAGAAATCCTATATATCTGTCCTGCATAATTTACAACTATTTGGATAATTTAGTTTCTACCTTACTATTGAAAAATTAGGTTTTACCAAGGAAATCAAGTCTGACGTCAAGCCAAACTCGACTGGTGATGAGAGGGTTCTCAGTGAGGTGCTGGTTCAGAAAGTCGTTTTCTTCTTTGCTTTTGATTGTCAGAAGGTTGGCGTCTGCAGGCAGGTTAAAAAAAACATAAAAAACATGAAAATCAAGCAAGTATGAAGTAAACTGAGATTTTGATTTTATAATTGTTTGAATATTGGATTTTCCAAAAAAGAAAAAATAGAGTCAACCTAATAAATAGATTTTTTTTCTCATAGTAAAAAGCATATGAGTATAAAAGTATGGAAGATGATTAGGGCCATTTAAAAAGGGCAAAAGAAGACTGACTTTAATCTCAGAATTCTGACAAATTCGGATTTTAAACTCAGCATATCGACTTTAATCTCAGAATTCTGACTTTAATCTCAGAATTCTGACTTTAATCTCAGCATATCGACTTTAATCTCAGAATTCTGACAAATTCAGATTTTAAACTCAGAATTGCGACTTTAATCTCAGAATCATTCTCATGGATTTAGGATTACTTTTTATTTTCCTACTTTATCGAAGTGCTAATCCTGGGCTTTAGCAATAGAGTCCCAAGTATTTTGACTTTTAATTTTATTTTTATTTCATATTCTTTTCTTTTTTATGACCATAATCCTCTTCTTTATAAAAGAGGTCAATTCACTTGTTGAGTTTGGCTATATTAGAGGTCGAATCTAGTGACTCACCCAACTTCTGACAGATGCTCTTTGCCTGTTCTATGTTGTAAACGCTGAAGTTATAGAAGCTCCCATCGAATAAATAACAGTGATCCTGGTGCTGAACCCATTTAGACGAGCCGTTGCTCTGAGGGCAGTGATTGGTCTCTAAGGTAGTTAGCTTGGCTCCTGTTTTAGAAAAAAAAAAGCAACATCAGCAACCGTTAGTCACTTTTGCAAACAGGAGACATCAACACAATTCCATTTTATTATGAGAGAGGAGGAATAGACTTAGTTTCCATAGAAACATTGGTCATCGTCTCACTTTGGTAAGGCGTTGTGATGTTGGTGGTGTAGCAGATGGCACCATCTTGTAAGCTAACACAGCTGGTTTTCACCCAGTCACCGCTGGGGTTTATGATCACACAGTTAGTCTGGTTTGAGCTGAAGTATGTCTTTGATTCAGTCAGTTTTAAAATGTTCTGAAACTTCGTCCCATCAGACCACTCATAGGCTGAGCCAATGACCTGCCCAAACAAATCGAAAGAGGCTGGAATTTAGAGCCTGAAACTCTAGTAAAGATGGTGTTACCTTGCTTCTCCTCTTCTCCATCAAAAACTTACATCCTGGTTCGACAGGCCTACCCATAGCGGGAAGCCGTCTGTTTTTGCAATAAGTTTCAGATGTTCCATGTGGTCTTTATCATGAACACTTGCCAGGTGACCACCAAGCCGACTGCACTCTTCCAGCGCCTGATACCAGGTTAACTGTTTGGGGACAACCTCATGGGACAATGTTTTATAGGCTCTCAGATCCTTGGTCGAAAGCTTGTAATCCTTTTTGGGCTCTTAGAAAAAGGCAAAAAAAGGAAGAAAGAAACTTGCGTTAGCTACTTTAAAAAAATATGAGGAATTTTTCAAAACGATGATGTTAGAAGCAACGTACTGACCATTGTCCAGCTTGCAGACAACAATTGACCTTTGTCTGAAACTTTCATGCAAGCTTCTATCTTTGAGAAGAATCCAGGAGCCGCTGGTGGTGAGACCGGCCATAAAGGTACTGTTTAAATTGGGACGGCCTTTTGTCCAGTTGGAATACTGGACATTTGTACCATCGTACCACATGGTCTGGTTATCTAGAGCAGAATGACATTTTACTCAGTCCACATGTAGGGATAGATGGTGCTGTTAAAACATTTTCGCTCAATTGCCAATTATTTAGCGGGGGTTGTCTTTTTCTTGTAATTAAAGTCTTTTACATTTAAATGTTCAGTAAACATATTCTATATCAAATAGATAAAAAAATACAGTTTTCAAAAGACAACTTTATTATAAAGGGGAATAAAAGCAATCAAACCATCCTAGCCACATGGGGGAAATGTTGACCCTTCAGCTAGCTGTGCTACTGCTTGTGTCAAGCATTCATGATCACCAGCAACAAGGCTTTCAAAGCCCGGTGGAACAATTTGCAGAATTTATTTATCAAACATGGAGGGTTTTAAGGCATTAAAGTCGTAGGGAAGCTGCTGTTCCAACCGTTGCATTTCTGAATTCTCTCCAGTGGTACCCAACTTTACACGAGTGAATAAAGTGAAGGTGATTGGTCGATTATCAGGGGGGCGGGATTTTTGTGGCGTAAGATTCACAAGCAAGTTTGATTGTGGCCTGTTTGTTGGAAGCATCTTGCAAACCAGTTAGCAACTTAGTGCTAGTAGGTTCCCAATGGGAAATTATTCTTTCATTTTCAACTTTGACTTCCTCCTCTGGTGGTTAGGAAAAATACATAGAAAAGCCACACCTTCTTATAAGCTGCTTGGTTAAAATTTTGAAAAAAGTAGCAGCTTATAATCCAGAAAATACGGTAGTTATTTTCCCTTTTAAATGCTTTCATCAATAATAATTTTGTCAATTTTTGGTGTCTGATCCGTTCCACAGTCCTTTACACAAGCAATTAAAGGCCTACTGTGCTTTATGTTGATCTATTGCGACCCCCTGGATGAGTCATTGAATGTGATCTTAGGGTCATTACGGTAGGCCAACGGCTGGGATGGTTTACCGCTGTTCCAGTGGTCTGCTTGCCTCCCATTGCCATAACGGCTTTGTAACCGTTCCAGACAAATAGTCAATAACTTTGTTGTTAATCAGTTCTTCAAAAATATGGATGATAACTGAAATTTGCTACTTGAATTTACCCAATAAACACTTTTTCACATGGGACCAGTTTTTCACATAAAGTTTCATTAAGACCAATTTGCATATGCAGAAAAAAAATGTTGTTTTAAATTGACAAACCATTTTTTGCAGCACTTTGAACCCATACAGAAGCTACATGATATGCTTACCCTTATTGAACATTGCCAGCCAAACAAACTGGACTAAGTTTTCATAGGGTTTGAGCTGGTTTGCGATGAACCGGTTCTCCAGCTCGTTTCTGATGGTAAGGAGGGAAGCATTTGCATCTGAAACACAAATGATCGGATACAACCATTTCAAAAACCTTCCTTTTCAAACATCTACAGGATGACAAATAAGGTCCAACCCTTACGGAGCTTTTTGCAGGTATCCTCCACCTTTCCCATGCGGAAAGCATCCCATCTGGTGGGGGCCAGCTGAAAGGTGTAACAGTTTTTACCCGAGGGAACCCAGTTGGGTCCGTTAATGCTATGAGGGCACTTTGCAGCAGCTTGTTCCGGCGTGGGGATGACCTCATCTAGGATGAATAAGGGTACATTTGCATTGAAAGAGTTAACAGGTTCATCTATAAGAGCAAATATGTCTTTATTGGAAAGGTTTTAGAGGCTAATGTAGCTTCCTATACATAAAATATGATTACCATATCAGTGATTTACACTTAGCAGCACTAGATTTTATTTATAGGTATCAGTGTATCTATTTAGTTAGACATTAAATGTCTAAAAATGCAGTTTTTGTGTCTTTTTAAATATATCTTGAACAACTGTATGCAGGACATAATGAATTATTACATTGATTATTTTTCTGATGTCAGCATTTCAGAGCAGCACTCACTGTGTGGTTTGTAGCAGATGGCACCTCCAAGATTCTCCTCACACTCTGTGGCTTTCCAGAAGCCGTCTGTGTCTAGGTACACACACCCTCCACTGGTAGGGTCTGGGAACCATCGACTGAACACAGTGTGGCTGTGGTCGGTCCATCTGTAGTGCAGTCCAGCCTGAACAAAAAGAAACAGTTTGATAGGACTGTAGCTATGGCAAGTTCTTCTCTTTTCAGGGGAGGAGCTGCACCTACGTCTTCGCTAAAAAGACCTATCCACATGGGGGTTCCAGCACGGTGCACCTTCACACTGAGGTGGGACTGTATGAAGGCGTCGGCAATACTTGCTGGATACATGTCTTTACTCTTACAGTACTCCAAAGCTTCAAACCAGGTAATATTTTGGACGACCAATAGGAAGGTGTAGTTTTTAATCTGGAAGGGTTTCTCCGAGATAACAGGCACCTCAGCTGTTTCTGTAATAAAGGAGCAGTAAAAGTGGGGAAAAAAAAGAGATTTGTATTTTTACTGGGATGCAAATTGACTTATATAATGCTTTGCTTCTTTTAGGCACACAAAATACTGTAGAGCTTTTAGAGACTAAATAAGGAGAATCAGCAACCTTAGTTTTGGTGCATGAATGTGGCGGGTAAAACCGTGGCCACCATGGACAAATTAAACCTATTTTTACTGATTTCAGTGTTTCTCTTAAGCAGGTTTATTCAATTTGACATTTTTAATTCCTCAAAGACTTCAAGCAAATGGCATCTTTGGTGGACACAAGAAAATCTTACTTGCATAATGTTGACAAAGGCCGAGACTTTGACTATGAGAGCACGGAGCGTAATCCCAACTTCCCAGCATATCAGAGCTGGGATTATTGATCAGGAAAGCACAAATGACTGCGCTCTCTGGATCAAATCTCTAAAAAAAAAAAAAAAAAAAAAAAAAAAAAAAAAAACAAGCAACAATGAGAATCTTTAGGAAAAAAAGTGTGACAATTAACCATAAAAATATCCCATTTTAAGTTTGTAGCAAAAAGGGCAAGCAGTACTTACATTGAGTTTGACAACCCTGTGCATGCCCAGCAGCAGGGGGTTGAAATTAATATAGGTAAGTGGGCTATTGTCCACCCATTCTGAGTAGCTCTGCTTGGTTTTCAGACCAATCCATATTCTTTCCATAGGTGCCAACTTTGGCAAGAGGGTGTTGATGAAGTCTATAATACATATAAAATAAAGGATATTGGCTTAAAAAGATTGAATCCTACGGAAGACTTTTAGGGCCACTGTAAAAAACAAAAAAAGTTAACAGATCTTTTTTTTTTATCACATTGAGTTTAATAAAGAAAGTCAGAATTCTGAGATAAAAATCAGAATCAGAAAAAAAAAATCTAATTCTGACTTTTTTTCTATATTAAACTTAAATAGGGTAAATAATCAGATTTTTTTCCCCCAGTGGCCCTAATCCTCTTCTGTGAAATCCCTTTTATTCATGTTCAACAAATTAACTTGACAGTTAGAACCACAGAAGATTTCTTTTGCCTTTCTTAAGCAAATATAAAACACTACTTGGTAGAAATATTATGGCAAGAAAAAAAAAAGCCTCACCAGACTCAAAGAAATACTTTTTTACTCAAAAAACAAATTAAAAAACAAGCAAAATTACAGATATGAATAGGTGTCTTATTTGATGTATATTCAAAACTTTAAGCAATAGGGTTATGGTTTACAACACATGCATCAATTAATATGAAGGATAATTTAGACTTCATTGGATGACTAAAAAATACCAACTAAATAAAAATGAAGCATTAAAAGGTCATACCTTGTTCCACCTGATCTGATATAGTCACCAGGGATCCCCTCAAAGACTTGCAGTCTTCATTGGCGTGTTTGAACGTTACAGAGCTGGCATTCATCAGCAGGTAGCACTAGAAAAACAACACAAACACTGTAACCATTAAAGCTTAGAGTTGATCCTCCGGTATCAACCCGAGGGATGTCATGCAGGAACATGTCTTCTAAAATCAGAAAATTTCCCGAGGAAGATGAAAGCATTGAGCAGAGATCTTTCTTTTTTCTGGATCAACAGAGGAGCCTATGATCATTGATAATAATAACCTTATTCCTGAAAGCGAATGATTCATTTCCACAGGGATATCCTTCAGTACCGGGCTTCCCAGGATCTTTCTCCACTGATGTAACGTTATACTTTTCACACACAAAAGGATTTTTCTGCTGGCAGCTTTGATCATGGGCTGCAAGGTAAAATGCGGACAAATTAGCATTCATGAATAAAGAAAAAGAAAACAGACAGTTATTTAAAAATACTAGCGCTAAAATCAGCTGAGTGTGTCGACTATTTTTAGAAAGATTATTGCCAATTAATCGAGGCGACAGTGGCAAATGATGCAGGAGTTCGTCCTGCAACTAGAGGGGATGCCGGTTCAAACCCCAGCACTGTCCGTCTCAGATGTTGTGAGATGGATCTGTAGGCTGCTGTTGCCTAGCGATGATGGTGAGAGGACTTAGTGCACAGCAGCCTCATTTCTGTCAGAGTGCCCTAGAGTATCTGTGGCTACAATGTAGCTAGACACCACCTTATCTTACTTATAAAGCACTTTTTGTTGTATTTTAACAATTTGCTCCAAATATTTCAAATTTCTGTGTCCCTGCAGCCAGATTGAACATTTCCCAAATATAAGAAAATTATGAAAACATCCTAATATCTACAGAGATATAGTAATTTTAACTCAAAGAGAACAGTTTCAAAAATGTTATCACTTGATTTGTTTTAAGATGTGTTCCCTTGATGTTAAATCTTGAAAGGTAAAATTAAACTTTTGGTTTGTAGAAACAAAAATAAATCCTATCCCATCATCATCATCATATTCTAGATGCCTCTATGCTTAAACACAGAAGTGGGGCACCTTCTTCACACAATCTTACTGTAGTTTTATTTCATTTTGATAATATTGTTGTTTTACAGTAAATTAAGTAAACAGCAAGCACAATATTTCAGATACCTGGAAAGGGACTTTGAGGAGTGATGTAAGTGCATCGGCCCAAAAAATAGGAACGGTAAAAATACATCTGGGTGTACCTGAAACACACATTAGATCAGTCAGTGCTGGGATCACTTTCATCACTTTTCATGTTGCTTTAAAACCTAAACGTTAGAAGAGTGTGATTTCTCTTACGTCTGGGGGAACAGCCGCCCTTGGTTTTTCATATCAACCCACCAGTGTTGATCTCTCGACTCTGCAACCTGTTGAATGGTTTCCCAAAACGGAATTAGTCAAAATTTCAGTTTATGAACATAATCACGAATTTAAAACCAAAACATAAATCAAAACTAAACGTGTCAAACTTTCATTGATCTAACTTGAGCTTTGTTTGATCAAGGTGAATAATGTTATTGAACATCATCATGAATCCCACTAAGTCACACTGTATGATGCTTTTTATTTATTTTTTTTATTTAAATCCACTAAATAATATTCATTGCAATGAAAACAATGAAGGAAAATTAAAAGTACATATGAAGCCCTTTTTTTGGCCTTTTCATTAAAAAGCATCTGTGTGTTTTACTTCGATGAACCATGGCTGCAGCACAATAATCCTTCTTAGTTGACATACATATAAAACCCCGGCAGTTAGCAGGGAGATTTTTTTTTCTCTGTATAATTCAACATTTCCAACCACAGACTCTGAAATCAGTGCTTTATATGATAAATTTAGCTTTAATTTTAGGTAAGCTAGACCAGTGTTTCCCAACCGAGGGTACACATACCCCTAGTGGTCCACAAATGCATTGCAAAAGGTACATGAAAATGTGTTATTTCTTAGGGAGTAAAATAAAATAGAGCTGGATCGTTTTTGCTTTCTGAGGAACCAATTAAAAAACAATAAGCTATAGGAGCTTATCAAAGCTGCTCAGGTGTCTTGATGAAAACAAAGTAAAACTAATTAAGTCAGTCTGACTATAGTTTATGTTCCTAATTCATAAAATTTAAATGTGACTGTAATGGAGTTACTCAGAGGAGCTTCAGCTTTATAAATACAGGATTATAATATGATTTTATTTTTTCATATATTTCTATTCCTTACTAACTTTCAGGCAACATAATGTTTTTTTTTTTAAATTTAAGATAGAAAGAACAAAATGCCTTAGAATTAAATGCTAATGCTCAGTGGCACAGTGGGTAGCACTGCTGCCTTGCAGCAACAAGGTTTGATTCCCGGCCCGGGGTCTTTCTGCATGGAGTTTGCATGTTCTCTCTGTGCATGTGTGGGTTCTCTCCGGGTACTCCGGCTTCCTCCCACAGTCCAAAAACATGACTGTTAGGTTAATTGGTTTTTTTAGATTCTACTTAGGTGTGAGTGCGTGTGAATGGTTGTTTGTCATATTTGTCTCTGTGTTGCCCTGTGATGGACTGGCAACCTGTCCAGGGTGTACCCCGCCTCTCGCCCATTGACAGCTGGAGATGGGCACCAGCACCCCTGGCGACCCCAGTTGGGACAAGCATGTCAGATAATGGATGGATGGATGGATCGGTTAAAAGATTAAAGAACATAGTTTTTGGTTTTATAATCAGTTATTGTACATTCCACTTCTGGACAATTGTCAATACTTTTGACTGATAGGAGTCATGGTAAGACAATATACCCAAAGGGGTACACAAGTCAAAAAAGGTTGAGAAACACTGAGCTAAATGATAGATATGCTGTTTACACTCACCGGCCATTTTATTAGGTACACCTGTCCAACTGCTCGTTAACACTTAATTTTTAAGCAGCCAATCACATGGCAGCAACTCAGTGCATTTAGGCATGTAGACATGGTCAAGACAATCTCCTGCAGTTCAAACCGAGCATCAGTATGGGGAAGAAAGGTGGTTTGAGTGACTTTGAACTTGGCATGATTGTTGGTGCCAGAAGGGCTGGTCTGAGTATTTCAGAAACTGCTGATCTACTGGGATTTTCACGCACAACCATCTCTAGGGTTTACAGAGAATGGTCCGAAAAAGAAAAAACATCCAGTGAGCGGCAGTTCTGTGGGCAGAAATGCCTTGTTGATGCCAGAGGTCAGAGGAGAATGGCCAGACTGGTTCGAGCTGATAGAAGGGCAACAGTGACTCAAATAACCACCCGTTACAACCAAGGTGGGCAGAAGAGCATCTCTGAACGCACAGTACGTCGAACTTTGAGGCAGATGGGCTACAGCAGCAGAAGACCACACCGGGTGCCACTCCTTTCAGCTAAGAACAGGAAACTGAGGCTACAATTTGCACAAGCTCATCGATATTGGACAATAGAAGATTGGAAAACGTTGCCTGGTCTGATGAGTCTCGATTTCTGCTGCGACATTTGGATGGTAGGGTCAGAATTTGGCGTCTACAACATGAAAGCATGGATCCATCCTGCCTTGTATCAACGGTTCAGGCTAGTGGTGGTGGTGTCATGGTGTGGGGAATATTTTCTTGGCACTCTTTGGGCCCCTTGGTACCAACTGAGCATCGTGGCAACGCCACAGCCTACCTGAGTATTGTTGCTGACCATGTCCATCCCTTTATGACCACAATGTAGCCAACTTCTGATGGCTACTTTCAGCAGGATAATGCGCCATGTCATAAAGCTGGAATCATCTCAGACTGGTTTCTTGAACATGACAATGAGTTCACTGTACTCAAATGGCCTCCAGTCACCAGATCTCAATCCAATAGAGCATCTTTGGGATGTGGTGGAACGGGAGATTCGCATCATGGATGTGCAGCCGACAAATCTGCGGCAACTGTGTGATGCCATCATGTCAATATGGACCAAACTCCCTGAGGAATGCTTCCAGCACCTTGTTGAATCTATGCCACGAAGAATTGAGGCAGTTCTGAAGGCAAAAGGGGGTCCAACCCGTTACTAGCATGGGGTACCTAATAAAGTGGCCGGTGAGTGTATGTGTTATGCTGTTTATGGCCCCATCTGTCCAAAAGTCATCCTGAAGACCTGAGGGCATTGTTAGAAGTGTTAATCCACTGTAACTGAAGACTTATCATTTGGATCTAGCATTTTATTCATAATTATTGAACCTTTGTCACTCGTAGATTGTAATATGCTGGTTTATGATAATATTTAATCTACTATATTTATGTTTGTTCAGGGTTTATTAGTTTAATTCAGAAAAAAATGTATTAACTTTATTAATGCTTTTAGTTCAATCATCAAAGGATCAACAGATGTAGATTTCAATATTTCGATCACTGACTTGAGAAGTTTAGTGCGACTTACTTCTTCCATCTTTTGCAGGATGGTTGAAGCTGCACTCAGACTGGTTGGGGAAGCCAGTTTGCTGCCATTCACATTGCAGTACAATTCAGCTTCATCAAAAGTTAGTTTGGGCTTCGTTACAAACCAGAACTCAGCTCCATCCATAAAGACAGAGGTCTCATGATGCCCATCTGAAAAACACAAGAGCAAAAACATCCGACTGTCATCTACAACTAAATACCGTACGAGAAAATAAGGAATCAAAATTAAGAAAAAAACCCAAACATCTACAGATAAACTGAAAGCATCCAGATATTATAAAACAACATGGTATTTACCAGGATTGTACCACTCAGGATTCTTTGGTTCAATTCCTGTTGAAGCATGGACAAAGACTGATTTAGAAGCGTTAGACAAAAACATACAGAAGCTCTACACATCTAAGCAAACCTCATTGCAAACTTGTCGGCTTATGTTCAATAATCAGTGGTCAATCGAACGCACTCACCACGGGGAATCTGGCAGACCCACTCCAACCGTGCGTCACAGTGGAACGGCGTGGCGAAAAATGGAGTGGTATTTATGTCATGAAAGAAGAGCAGCAGGTGTGAGAAGGTTCTCTTCATTGACTATCAGAGACCAAGCCAGGAGGAAAAATAGAGATTTTAAATTAGTTTAAAGAAACCATTCAATAAAAAAGTAAATAATTCCATTCAAACTTATAATGATGAAACACAATAGATAAATAATAAAAAATATATAACTTAACTTCGGCTAAAATTCATATGTTTAAATTAACATCAGAAGAGGGAAGGCAGAATAAATCAAACTACTTGAAACGACAGCGTTTTTTGTTTTTGTTTTTTGTTTTACAACAATGAATGTTATCTGTAGCTAAACATTGTGAGAAACAACAGATTTGGTACATTTAATTAACAAAAAACATAAACACACAAAAACCATATTTGTGGGTAATGTAACATATCAGGTCAACCTTGAAAGCAGTGCAGTCTCTGTTATATGCATCATCCTGATGGAACTCATGATGTAAAACATCAAAGGATACCTGTTGCAAAAAATCAGACAAAAATTCGATTAAAAAAAACTCCACATAAATTCAGTGTTTTAACATTTTACAAAACGTATTAATCGGTACGTTTTTGTCATGCGATCAAGGCGTTCAGTAGGATTAGTTCTCAAAGCACTATGCAGTTTTTATGCACTAATTAGATTCAAACTTATACCTCTATTCTATAGAGAAAATGTGAGGAGAATCTAGACTCTCCTGTTTTCTTTTAGCCGTGTTTTCAAATATAAAATGATAATCTAAATAGCTGTCCTTATTTGTTAGTGGGTTTTTTTTTTACCACAAACAAATAAGTACTTCTTTACAGGTGCTGTAGAATAGGTAGCAGACTGGTTCTACGTATCAATACTTTAGGTGGCTTCTAAAAGTTACAACGTTATGAAATTTAACAACGATGTACAGTGGTGGGCTGTGAGGGCCTTCACTATTGGCCTTAAATCAGAAACACTAACCTACATTAAAAGCCTAAACTTTCATTTTCTTCTTTCCAACTGTATACATTTATTCAAACAATCCATTCTATTAATTTTGCAGCGTTTCTCTCTTGGCCGTGCCGCTTCCATTACATTTATCTAGTTGGCATATATTTTGTTCAATGAGATTTCAGCCTCTGTGTGTTGCTATGTCAATCAAATCTGCCCAGGGCCATTAGAATCAGCAGTGCTGGCTGCTTATTTCTTGTGAGGAGCGTTTTCCTCAACCAATCAGATTTCCGACTTTTCCCACAGAACCAGCTAGCGGGCCTACCCCTACGTTGGCATTTTCTGTGCTCTGATTGGTTAAAGCAAAATGCTTACAGTCAAGTTCAGCTAGAGACAATTTGCATTTTAGATTTGGTTTTGTTAAAAGTTTTTACACCCCTCAAAAGGCTGATACTGAATGTAGATACTAAGACTTCCTGCACAAATACAGAGAGATGGATTTTGTTAGTAAAAAAATCCGCATCTCTGGTGAGTGTGATATATTTTATTTTCATGCTTTATGCTCTATTTTATCTGCTAATTAGATGCATATTGAATCTGAACAGCTACTGATTATATAAATCTTGTGAAGAGGTAGAGTAGAGGATTGCGGTTGTCTTAACTGGGCTTCTTGCTTAGTTGATCTCTGCATTCATTTTCACACTAATCCTACTTTCGGTTATATCTGCGCTTGTAACATTTCATATTTAAATACCATTGGGGGTTTCTGCTATTAAAATGCAGAAGTGGTGATTAGGGCTGGGTAAAAAAAAATCGATTTAATCGATTATGAATCGATTTCTTTACATTTTTGTAAAATCGATGTGTAGGGAATGAGATTGATTAGTTTTATAGTGAGGCGCGTGACGTTCACATTCAAATGAACATTCGTGTGCAAATTCCGACCCAAGTAACACACCGCTCAGCAAGCTGTCCCAACTGAAGACTGATGTCTGGAACCATTTTGGATTTAAAACAGCTAAAAATAATGTGCTGGATATGTGACATTAAGGTGACTTCCCACTACAGTAATAATGAATGTGGCCTGACTTCAAGCCAGACAGCTGCAAATATAGCCAACAGGTTGACTGAAGACATTAACAAATGGGGGCTGAACAGCAAACATCCTGTAGTTGTTACAGACAACGCTGCAAATATGGTTTGTGCAGTGAAGATAATGCAGCTCATGCATGTCTGCTGGGTCCTCGTTGTGTCACGTCTGCTCACTTGAGTGAGGCTTCACTTTTTCACTTTTCACAAACAAGTTTGCACTTTTGAGACAGTTTAGTCCACATCTCAAGTTTAAACTGTCTGATTTACAAGTTTACACTTTGTGTTTAATATGACAGGAAAAAATAAAATACATGAGTATTTTGAAACAAAGTTGAACCACTTTCATTATTGTAAAAACAGATCGAATCGAAATTAATCGATTTAGAACTCAATGAATCAAAATCGAATCGATTTAGGACTATGGCAAAAATACCCAGCCCTGGTGGTGATATTATCCTTTTGAGATTTTTGACTGAGCAAATTAACCTTGTAGTTGAATAAGATTAATTTATTAACTATAGTTCATAAAGTACTATACTTTAGTACTTTGTCCACCACTGAATAACTGAATACATGTTACAACCACACAGACACCTTTAGGTTTAAATCCAAGCACTTACTGGTCGGCCATCGCTCCACTCCCAGGACGGATCGGATGGATTTCTCCTGTTAAGGCCGACCCAGAAGTACCGGTCATCACTGTGATGAGACAAAAACACACCCTTAATATTCACAACTATTAACATGCATGTGACTAAAGACAAGAAAATCCCCTTAAGCTGCAAGGATTTTTAAAAGAATGCCATTTCTTTTTGTTTTTTTTCTCAGGCACAAGAGTTTCTAAGAAATTAAACCAAGATAGAAATGCCCAGTATGAGTTCATTTCAACCTTTAAGCTGTGATAAAGCCTAAAGGTTGATTACCTGTATTTATGTAAACCATGGTAAAGGTATGGAAGGAAATAAAATGAAGTCACAGTTCCATCCATATCCAGATCACAACTGATAGAGAAGGCTTGAAAAATGCAAAACGGAGTTACATAAACTTCTGATGCTAAGCGCTTCAGAAGTCAGTGAGACTGTCATGCAGCTGGAGGTGAAAGTAGAGCAGCTCATTGAGGTTAAAAAGAAAGCTCACAATAAACAACTTTATGGAATAGATTTTTCCAAACCCAATATTGCAATGTTTTTTCAGTTTAGAACTTTTAACTTCTGCTCCTGTGTTCCTAAACAATAGGAGTATTGTTTGATGTGGTCGTCTGCTGCTGTGGCCCATACCTTTTTAAGGTTCTAGTTGTGTCATCAGAGATGGTATTCTGCATGCATTGGTTGAAACAAGTGTCTTTTTTTTTAGTCCCACTATTGTCCTACAAACTCTGACTCCCTGGACATTGTCTTTCCCCCAGATCATGTCATGAAAGAAGAGCAGCAGACCCAGTAAACCCAAAGACTGGTCCAAATGGCTGAATGTTAAAATCTAAGTGGATTAAAAGCGATTACAAATACTCAGACCAGTCCATCTAGCAGTAACTTCTGCCATGTTCCAGGTAACCTCATTCATCTTTTTTTCACCCCTCTGATGCATGTAGATACATAAACAAATAATTGGCTTCTGCCATGTAATTGCTTGAGATGTATTTGAGTTACCAAGCAATCATCTGTGATATAGAAGAAGACATACCTGATTGAATTTCTCAAAATGCCGTGCAGGGCTGTCATCTCCTTTAGGTTGGTGAAACTGGGAAGGTTGGCTCCCAAAGCCAGACAGAACCTCCTGGCTTCCTCCCAAGAGCGTTTCCTGCCAATTCGCTCCCCATTAAACACCTGGTAAGAGAAGGAAAATCAATTTACAAATTCTAATGCATTTTAGAAGCTAGAAAAGGTAAGACGAATACAGATTTGATTTTGTTTTAGTACCGAGTTTACTTTAGATTTTTATATGGCAGTAAAGAATCGGTAGTTGAGCTAGTGTTTTGGGAACAAATGTGCTTCCTTTAAATTGTAAAATATATAATAATAATCAAAAAAGAGTCTGCATAACCAAAAATGTGTTGCATGCACTGCAGCATTTTCTTATTTTATTGACTTGCCTTGTAGCAGTATTTACTTTCTGGGCCAGACATCCATCCATTTGCACAGGTTGCATTAGGGTTTGGTTCTGGTTCTGGTGGCGGAGGTGGCTTTAAGTCTATTCTACATATGGTCCCGGCTTTGAAAAGAGTACAGTTCTTTACCTCCCATTTGCCCAGAGGTTTTGCTGTTGAAATCACAACACAACCTCCGTCCCGTTCTAAAAGACATACGTTTGGATAAAAAAGGATTAGAGCACTGGTCAAATGTTCACACACAAAACAAATATATATGAACAAGAAGGCTGAAAACACAAAAAAATAACCCAGCATACACATTTCTTCTCGCCCCTGAGCTATTTTTAGTAGCCAACACAAAATAATAATTTTTACTCTATCTAGGCTCATTAAGTTTTCTCAAAATCGGACATAGAGTAATGCAGGTTTATACCTCAGACTTAAATATTCCAACAGTCATTCTTTTGTTCTTTATTACTTAATTAACTATTGCATAAATAATGGCAAGATCTCATCTCAACATCGTATATTTTGCGTGAACTGTTAAATCAACACAGTCTGAGCTGGACATTAGGCCTGTGCTTCATACTCACCAGGTTGAAACCAACCCCAGTTGGTATATGGGACCACGCCCGGGGATTCATTTGGGTTCATCCACTGGTACTCCCCTGTGTTCTTGATGTCCTGAAGGCCTATCCAGAAATACTGAGGGTCTTTGCTGATTTGCTCTGCCAGCAGACGGTTGATAAAGGCTTGCTCAAACCTGAAAAGGAGCAGGACTTAAGTGACTTTCTCCTGCCTCAGGCAAGACACCTTCGTTTTGAGGTTTTCCAAATGCTGTAACAAGTGAGCCCCCTTGCAATGCTAAGGTTTAACACAATGCCACATAAAAAATGTCATTCAATTCTTCACGTCATTAAAAAATATGTTAAATAAAAACTCAAGTGAAAACTGCTGTAGCCTTTTTAATCCAGCCTTTTTTGCCCTCCTATCTTTTTCATACTTAATAACCGTCCTTTTTCATATTTTGTTCCACTTGTACCTTTCTATTATCCCTTCATTCTATTCATATCAAACATATATTTAACCAGTAAAGCCTGTTAAGATTTTCTGTATATACAGTAGTAGTTTTCAAGCACTCATTGTGCAGAATAAATACTTTTACCATTCGTTTCAGTGATAGAAGAAAAAGATAACCTGCAGTACACAACAAGTGTGGGAGGGGCAGTGCATTACTACTCTATACAAAGAACAAAACTCAACAATTTTCTTCGGCATCTCCTTAAAGAACCGTAAACAATGAGCATTCCATGACTAAATGTTGAATTAACAATAAAGCCGTGACTAAATACCTCATTAGAAATAGATACTATCGACTCTATAGAGGGACGCCAGTGAATACAGAGCAGTCTTCAGTTGCTGTCCCCCAATTGTTTTCCAACAAATGTTGGAATCAGAAAACAGACCCAAAAAGACTGAGCGATAAACAGTGAAGCTCCTAACAGTACATTTCATAAACAGGCTCATGGGTCAGGTCACCATGATGTCTATCATAAACTCCCTTGTATAGAACACTGTTAACTATATATCTCAAGCACAGTTCTTTAACAGGTGGTCCCTAACTTAAAGAACATCTTCAAATTAAATATTGGAGGACTTAAAGTTCAACATGAGTGTCAAACCTGACAAGAAGAAGCACCAGATAGTATTTGTAATGTGGTTTTAATGATGTAACCAGGCCCTACCTGTTTCTTATAGTGCCGTTACAGTGGTCTTTGAAGGGCACTTGTTCGGTCTTCACTAGATAGCAGGAGTTGCCGTGTCTCCTCCAACCCTTGATAATTAAAGTATTCAGTTACAATAAATATATTTTCCATACATTCGCAGTCCTTTGCATTAACTAGATCATGAAAACATTAACATCAGTGTTTCTTCTTTAGATTATTATATAAATAACAATCTGAATGCTACTAAAGGTCTTAGGGTTTGCATAGCAGAATATGAAGATGTAGGACATATATTTAATCTTTTGCAAACTTGGTTCAGAAAGATGATACTTACGGCCGTATAATTGCACCCAGGCTGTGATTCAGACTCATTTAACTCTCCCTTCTTCTGGCACATGAAAGATGCCTTTTTTGAGCAGTCCCCCACCCGCCAACCATGAGTCTGCAAATGTAAAACATGTCTTGTTTGTGATGCTTCTAAAGAACAAAACTTGTGTCTTCATCACACATAAATAGGAAAAACAAAACAGAGCAAAAATACCAGCAAACCTTGTCAGAGTAGAAGACACAGATAGGACCTGAATCATACGGGACGGGCTGGTTTAGGTCCCAGTAGGTGAAGTCGACGGGCTCCTGGTTGGTCCATTTAAAGATGGTGCTGTTTATTCCATTACCAATTAGACCAATCCACGCACCAGCAAAGGTCCCATCTGTAAGTTACAAAGAAAGAAACCCAATACTAAAACAATTGATGCAAATAAGCTTAGCAAAAGTTCAGTGAACTGTAAAAAGAAAAATAAGGGTTTAAAAGAGAATGTTTAAATGAACCAAGCAGTTTTAAATAACATATTACAGGCAGATTGTTTGGTAAGCATGTAAAATGAACCTGGACAAGTTCCACATGCTGTAAAAATCCCTTTGTTGAACCTTATCTCTCTGGTATTCTCTTCTCCTTTCTCTCCATAAACCTTCCTGTTCTACTGAATTCTTGTTCTGGTCAGTAATGCTGTTTGGTAAGTCAACTGATGAAATCTAGTGAGTGTTTTTTGACCCTCTGAGAAGCCTATTTTAGTTTGTTTTTGGATTAATATCTGCTATATATGCTACATGAAACCCTTCTTCTATTTCTGTATAAAAGGTAATCCCCACGCATGACTCCTTAGCCTCCACGCCTAACAGTTTGAGATCATTTTTTTTAAGGAAAGATATTCTCAGCTTAAACTCTGTTGCTTCTTAAATAGAAAAAAATGCTTGTATAGTTTCTCTTTAGAGGTAAACTGATGGTGTCCTTCACCTTTGACAAGTCAGGAGATTTGTAGTCTTTCCAGACTCAAAACCCCGCCTTCAGATTCTTTATTTCATAACTCCCAACTTCTTATTATATGGCTCCTAAATGAATTCAATAAACAACTCCAAAGCTGTTTTAACTGACTGGTGATTTAAGAACAACAATGTTGGCAAGTCCAGTACCTGTGAAGGTTGTGTGTCTAAAATTTGTACTTAGATCACCTCTTCAACAAGTCCATGAGCTTTTCACAACAAAGAAAACATGGATAAGAGTAACCAACAGTTGTAAAGAACCTAAATAATTGCAGAGCATGGGGAATTTTACCTGTAGGGAAATATGTGCTGATCATCTCGATGTTGTCAAAAGAATGAAAACTAGCCAGCTGTGCTCCTCCCTCGGTGGTTTTACAGTACTCTCCAGCTTCTACAAAGTTTTTCTGTTCATTGATGTCGTTTATTAACTTATAACACCAGCCGTTCCATGGCAACCAGCCCTCTTCACACACTGTTTCCTTATATACAAAAGGATCTGTGAAACGAAAGAAAACCAAAGAAATAAAAAGGTATGAGGACACAACAAAAGGTTGGAAGTGTTTTCATTGACTGTAAAAAGTTGTTTTATATAAACACACTGAAAACAGAGATTTGAGCTGTTAGTAGTATTACATCAAAAACTAAAAGGAAAATTATCAAAAAATCTTCTTGGGAATTGGAGCACTGGTAAAAATCTTGTTAGAGTTTCGATCCACGTCACAAGGGTTTTAAAATTACAAGCACTTTTTGGACTTTTTCCCCCCCCTGTGCAGTTATGTGACAGTTTAACTCAGAAGAACAAACAGGTTCTATAAAGCACACGCTTGCTTTAACCAACCTGTGGATGCAGGCAGGGAGGCGTTCACCGTCTTCTTGCAGATGTAGGGCAGCCGTTTGTTGCATGACTCTGACTCATACTTCTGTTTGGAATTCAAGACGCCGCAGTCGGACTCGATAAGGAAGGAGGTGAATGGCATTCCTGTCACAATAAAATTTACAATAAAAAATAAACACAGTAATATGCACACAACATAAAGAAAAGCACTCACATACCAAAGAGAAAAAAGAAACGTTCGTTTGAATCACAATATTTACACACACTGTATTAGAGTCTAGAGAAGCTCTTATTTTTCATTGTTTGACATTAAATACAGAGGAGAAAATCTTCTACTTTTATTGTTTTTCTTCTTAAAGTAACAATCCACCCTAGAACTGAAGGTCAGCAACACTGAAACATGATAAATTATTGCAGCCATTAGGAGTTTACAACAAGAAGAGGCCTAATTCTTAACATTCCCACTAACACCTCCCGCAAATCGAGAAAAAAAAGAAATACAATTGCTGGCAGCTTTGGCAAAGCAGCCCATTCATTGCTATTAATGGTTTATTCAGCAACACTAACAATCCCAGTAGCACACTTTGTACAATAACAAGGCACACATTGCTACTTTGCAACACTAGCTATATTGTTTCACTGACTGATGCTGTTGTAGGAGAGAAATGCACAGCAGACCACAACAGGATGAGGCTTTCTGTGTGGAGTGTTTCCAAAATAAACTGTGATATGCAGGCTGCTAAACATTTTTCTCTGACCCATTTAGCTTTAAAACACAAAACACCTTTACAGCAAATGCGTTATCATTTACAATGATTTATATTTGTATTAGAAAAAAAACAAACAATATATATAAGGTCTTACTTTCTTCCCACTGCAAGACATAAAGAGGGGAGCCGTCTGACCATTGCCATCCCTGAGAAGTGTCTAACTGGTGAAGGCCGATCCACATCCTTTCAGGCATTTGGAGAAGACCTTCCAAAACTGCAGTGCAACATCACAGCAGTCAGCAGGGGCAAACATAGTGCAAAAAGCATCAGATCCAAGATGTCTAAATCTTTTGATTTGGTTCATTTAGTCTACCAAAACCTTGTAAGCTCAGAGTGCAGACCAGGAAGCAGTCGTACATTAGAACACCTCTCTGCAGCTTCTCTACTCTCATCCACTCATCACTCCATCAAGACAGTCTTGCCCACGACCAAAATCAAATAAATTAGAAAGAATCCTAATAAAGAATGACAATCTAATTAAAATAAAAATGACTCTAATCTGGGAAAAAGTTATGAATATTAAATGTGTTTTATTTAACAAGATATTTCTCTTTAAAATATCTGTTGGTCAATGACTTGATTTGTGATAATCACATTGATTTATGTTACCTTACAGCAGGGGTTTCAATCTGGTTCCAGTGTGGAACCAGAGTTTCTTTCCAACCAAACAACAGCACACCAGACTCCATTCATCTCATCAAGTCTTCATGTTCAGATTGGACTCACTTAATGAGATGACTGGAGTCTGCTGCTCTGTTGCTTGGATGGAAAGAAAACCTGCAGCCACACGGCCCTTTCTGGAACCAGATTGACATCCCTGCCTTACAGAAACCTGGCTGCAGCACGAGGATTGTGTAAGCATATATGAGGCCACTCCCTCTAGTGATTTAAACCTTAACAAACCCACAAATTCTGGGCGAGGACGAGAAGTAGCAACAATATTTCGGTCTAACATACTGATTACTCCAAAGGCAGTTAATAATTTCAACTCTTTTGAACATTTAACCTTAAGTTTCCCTCATCCAAAATTCAAAGCAACAAAACCTCTTTTTTTGAAACTTTGTGTTGTCCATCAGGTCCAACACAATCCCATCTTCATACTTTGGAGCTTGTGGTGACATATGGCATTGCATGTGAAAAAATAACAGTTATTTCCCTGACAACACTGTCCTCCCTGACCACTTTTTAGTAGCCTTCATAATTACTTTAACAGGGTCCCAGATGACTTGTTGAGTTACATACCTATATCTAATCTTCCTCTCTTATGTAAAATCATTGAGAAAATAGTTGCTAAAGAGGTTTGTGACCGTTTTCACCATTATTAACTATTTGAAGAATTTCACTCTGGTTTTAGAGCTCATCATAGCACTGAAACAGCTCTGGTGAGGGTCACTAATGATATTCTCATGGCCTCTTCCATCTATAGTTGTCCCTTCAGATCAGTGCTACATTTGATCCAGTCAATCATAATATTCTTTTAGAAAGACTTCAATATTTTGTAGGAATTAAAGGAACAGAGCTAGACTGTTTTAAATCTGATTTATCTCACGGATTTTAGTTAGTTCAAGTCAATGATAAATATTTCTTATGTTGCAGGGTTAGCTTTGGAGTACCACAGGAATCAGTGCTAGGTCTAATTCTTTCTACTATATATGTGTAACCAATTGGTAGAATTATCTGAAAGCATGGAGTTAATTTCCACTGTTTTGCTGATGATACTCAGCTATATCTGTCTATAAATCCAGATGAATTAACCCATAACATAGACCAGGGGTGGGCAATTTTTGTTCTCTGAGGGCCAACTGTATGCTCTCTCTTCTGTTTCTCATTATAGTAGCTACATCTTTTCTGTTCCTGTTTGGCTGTGACCCCATCCTGGAGTGAAATATCAGCTGTGCTGCTGCCTTCAACACCTTTGTTTATAGATATTGCCAGTTTTCAGTGTATTCATGTTACTCTGACTGTTATTAACTGGATGTGCTCTCTTGTATCCTTTGACATGGGAGCTGGCTCGGAGCTGTTTAGTGTGAGTCGGCCTCTGCAGATGGCCGCTCACACTGAGCCTGGTTCTGCTGGAGGTTTCTTCCTGTTAAAAGGGAGTTTTTACTTCTCCACTGTCGCTACAAGCATGCTTAGTGTGAGGGATTGCCTTCTAGTCAATGAGTCGATGCAATCAACTGGTTTTCCTTAGAGAGAAAACTTTGAATCAATTTGACTGTATGATCTGGTGAGCTGTAAAGTGCCTTGAGATGACATGTGTTGTGAATTGGTGCTCTATACATAAACTGAACTGACTTGAATCTGCCTGGCTGTGTGTTTCCTGGGTGGGGCTGCCTGTAGAGCTGGTTGACGGTTGCTTTGAACCCCAGTCGGCCTCGGCAGATGGCCGCTCACACTGAGCCTGGTTCTGCTGGAGGTTTCTTCCTGTTAAGAGGGAATTTTTCCTCTCCATTGACGCTACATGCATTATTAATGTGAGAGATTGCTGTTGAGTCAATGAGTCGATGCAATCAGCTCGATTTTTCTTAGATAGAAAACTTTGAACCAATTCAGTTGTATGATCTGGTTATAATATCTCTGTAAAGTGCCTTGAGATGATGTGTGTTGTGAAATGGTGCTATATAAATAAACTGAATTGAAATGTTCAGCTGTCAGCATGAAAATAGCCCAACTTGTTCTTTCTGACAAGACTCGTATGACAGATCTAGAAAACTGAGATTTAAGAAAATGTCTCTGAAACAAAAACAGCAAACTCATCAACAAGTTTCATTTTTAACAGCAAATTTCAGAGTTGTTGAAATGAACAGAAGACTTTCGGTATGATAATTACCACTTCCCTTTTTGAGGTTTAAAACTATTTAAATGGGAGAAAAAGAGGGAGGCTGCAGCTTTTTAAAGAGTTTAAACAATAAACCCTCAATAAGGCGGCAGAGCAGAGGCATCTTTTTCTTGTGCTCCGTTTACTTTAAAAATCTCTCACTGGGCGTTTACTGTATCACTTAAAGGTTTTGTAACATATTTGTGGAAATTTTATCTTATGACAACTAAAATATAAAAAGGGAGATGGGGAGAACAAAAGGAGGAAGTAGATAAAAGGGTTTCCGACTCGAAAGGCACATAACATGTGACTGTAAGCTAAGCCTCCAACAAAAGTAAAGAATAATCAAAGCTTATGATGAGGCAGAGGTCTTTGTTCATAGCAAGATCACAGCAATAAGGCAAAAATATATTGGTTATTATAACTTTCTTTGTATTTTGTCTACATGCTCAAAGATGTTAGGTTTGGAATCCACATTATCAAATGATCATTGTTTATGGTTTTCATTACTACTAGCTGAGAAGGTGAGCAGTAGGCAGGGAGGCGGGGCTACAAAAGAATCCGTCTTACAGGCTGTGGAGTTGAGATCGTTCTCCGACACACTCAGAAGCTCAGCTCCCTGACTGCGACATGAATGCAAAGCTTCATGCCATGTCACCGTGGCGCCGGAAACAAACTCGTAGCAGGGCCCCCCGGGTGGGCCGGTGAACAGGGTCTGGCAACCCTCCTCTGAAAAGTGACGGGCACAAAGTCGTTAAAAGCACAGAAACAGAGATCACATATGTAGTAAGTCTGGAAACAATTATCCACTAGGATTTAATTTGATTATCTAACAGAATAGATTCCTTAAAATGATAAAGTAAAAAAATAAAAACAATCAAAAATGACAGCATACCAGGTAATAGACAGTTCCCCCACTTATTCTCATGGTCATAGTCTGAGGATGTGGCACACCAGGAGAGTCCGGCGACCTCTGCATCAGCAATACATCCATGATGCCAAACATTGTTGTACTTGAAGGGGAACTCGCATGGAGCCCCCGCAGAGTTTCCTCTGGTGGTGTGGACAACTGCACAGACAAGGGAGGAGCAGAGTCACAAACCTCTATGGTAGCTTGAACGTTACATCACAACGATGACTGTGAAATTCAAACCCAAAGAACAAAAACAAAATTCTGTTTCTATTTAGGTTTAAATAGCATAGTTTCACATGTGAAATAAGAACCCACCACACTGTGGTGGAGATGATCAATTTGGGGAAGATGCAACATGAGAGGCTGCAGCATGAAAGGCAGCAGGAGGCTGCAGGGAAATGCAATCTGGCACAGCAGTGATTCCCAACTTGGGGGATCCTGGAGCCCTATTGGTGGGTGGCAGGGGGGTCGCTTTGGGGCTGCAACTTAATCCCAGATAGGACATTATCATATTTTGCAAAAAAAACAATAAATAAAACACAAAGATTATCAAAAGAGGCAATTTGCCTTTCCTTGCTTTTAAACACCATGCAATTTGTGCAAAAGTGTATACTAACTTTACTTAGTATCCTTCCTGTTTTCTTTTAGAATAAAGAAATATGTGCTTCTCAAAGTGATCAATAAACAGATGCAGCTTTCTGAATCAAACACTGTGATAAAAATTAAACATAAAAGCACAATTTTAAATAAGCAAGAAAAAAAGCACGTAGCTTTATGTTTTTTAACAAAAATATAACCCAGAAAAAAACGATTTACTTGCATGTTTTTATGGTCCTCTCTCACAGTCAAAGTTTAATTCAGAGAATAAGGACCAAAAAGCAAAAACCAGACTCTGAAAGTATCTTCATCAAAATCATCATCACTTCAAAGACGTCCCTAAATGTGTAACCCTTGTTGAAAGAAGAAACACAATACAAGTTTTTCTAATTTTGGAGAATCGGTTCTGCTCGTATCACTTCTCTCTTCTTCATTGCAGACAAGCTGCACACGTCGGATGATGAAGCATTTTCAAAGGTTATGCAGTAAGAATAATCCCTCCTACTCTAAGTGCTTTCTCTGTTAGGTCTAATTTGATTGGTTGGTTCACTCAGAAATGAGAGGCTTTGTTTGACACGGAAAGATGTTGATGCAGACAACGGTCCTAACATTTTGAACTGAAAGGTGTTTTTATAGCAAGATCTGGTTCCTTTGGGTCCAGTTTGGTCTGCTCTCTTTCATTCAAAATTTTTTAGGATTAAGGGCATATTTTATAATCCTATTCATCTTCTGAAAGCTGAGTTGCAGTATATTCCTTCCTGCACTGATGTTGCACCAGGACTATGAGAATTGATCAGATATGAAATTTGGGGGCAGTTCCTGATAACATCTGAGACTTTTAATCAAAATATAAGAATTTTTCTTATATGCTACTGCTGTCCTGCTAAATGAAGCATAATGGTAGCTGCCACTTTAGGGCAGAGTTGTGTTGTTGTGGCTGGGATTTGTGGTTGGAGTTAGCTATTTTCTCTTCTAACGAGATCAACAGAAACCGTGAAGATTTGGAAATATTGATAGAATAATATATATATATTCTTATTATTTTGCTTGAGAAACTATTACTGCTACATTCTATAGGTTGGTAACAAGCATCACTTCTTGTAGGATTGCCCAAGAAAATTTTACTTTGTAATAAAGATAAGCAACATAGCTCAATGTAGATCAGAGTGGGGATCATTTTAAGGCTGATCTATATATATATATATGTTATATAAAATCTAATGATATAGATGTTGTAAGCATTTATATTTTTGTACTAGTGGGATCAGATTACAACAGAATATCAGATCATTTCCAATAATGCACCATAAAGCATGCCAGGCTTATTATTCTGGGTAATATCATCTTCATGGCTTTGTTTAACTTTTTTATGTTACATGAGTCATCATATTCATACACAGGGCAATGTTCATGCAAGGGAAGTAGAATCCATGTAGCAAACTAAGTATCCAAAGGAAATCCCCCAAACCATTTTACTCTCTAAACCTGAATTCTGATACATGCAATCCTACAAAAGGTCAAAGTGATAATGATGCAGCCAGGTAACCAGACAGGCCTTACTTAAAATGTGTCAGAACCAGTTTCTTTGCAGAAGAAACTGGTTCGGACACATTTGTTTTTTTTCCTCCAGGCACCTTACAGAGATCTGAAGAAGTTATGTTGATGTTCAACTCAGGAAATAAATCCTATAAGTAAATTAGATTTGCAGCACTTTGTGCAAAATGAATTTTAACAATATTTTGTTCCTCTTCCTAAATAATTTCCTGAAGCTTCAGGCGGTCGGGTGTATTGTAAGCTACTCTCCTGGTTTTGTGCAGGGGGGGGGGGGGACACTTACCACGATAAGGAACATGGCAGATGTTGTTTTGGGATCCTCCTCTAACCCAAGTCTCATTAGAATCCCTTCTTACTACGACTTTATCTTTGCTGACCGTCAATCCCATTTGATATACAGTGAACACTGATCCACCAAGGCAGCGCCATGACAAAGGGAGGCCGGCGCCGCAGTCAACCAGGGAAAGCATCTTCGATGTGACGTTCAGTGCCAAGCAGAGAGACGTTCCCATGTGGAAGAGCCGGTCACCTGAACCCCACTTCCATAGCTGGGAGCTGTTGGTGGAGTTGCAGGAAGCAAGGCTGAACTCTCTGTTTGGCTCCGTCTTTATGCATTTACCCGTGGTGGAGTGCTCAATGGTAAAAGCATCTTCATCTGATGATGAGATAGAAAAAAAACATAAAAACATTTTTTGCTGTCCTTTAAATACATTCATCTAAAAATACTAAAAAACAAACAAACATAAAACAAAACACAGGTGCATTTTTCTGTCTATGCAACACTCAGAGAAAGAAACGACTTTAAGGTTGATTCCTCCTCCACTTATCTGTCCTTCTCTGCTAAGTTAATGTTTATCTGGATTTATGTGCTCTTCCTCAGTGTGTTGCACTTTAGTGGTTTCTTTAGTCGTTTACAGTGAAAACTAAACCCCTATTTTAAAATTTGGTTTCACATGATGTCATCTTAACCACGGCATAGCCTAGCTCTCAAGAATTCTCTGCATAGTAAAATTATAGCAAGATAGACATTAAATATGAGATACTAAACCAAAGAAAGAAGATTATGTTTATCTATGATTTTCAATCACCCAAAATTTCTATATTGAAATCTGGTTAAGAACACTAAAGAGGTGTATTAGTTATCTACTTAGGTAAGTTTGATCTGCTCTGGTCAGTATTTGGTATAAATGGGGCCTGAATGTCCACAGCAAATGTAAAAAGGAACCCATTTCTCCTTGTGCATGCTCTGTTTAAAATTTCCTGTTTGCATCCCTCATACAAGCTTACTTTCCAAAAGAAGATTTGACATTTTTCCACTATGTCAGACATACCACAGGTAAGTGAAAATGGGGACGAGCACGTAGGACGGCCTTATGTAAACATATCACCAGAATGATTGACAATTAGGAAGACCACTTATTTTGATGATCCACCCGGAAAAAGATCCATCCTCCACTATACCTTTAATCGTGAATGTGATCGACTGGAATGCAAAAATTATGATGTACAAATGACATTAGTCTAATTAAATATATAAAATAAATATATAAAAAAGAAGTTGCTTTAAAGTCTAGTCACAGTTTTTAGGATCCTTTATATAGAAGGAAGTATAGTGCATGACTCACAAACTAACACGAGTTCATGCCAACAACATGAAACCGAAAGGTAAAATGAGGACTTGTTCGCACTCAAAGCAGAACATAGATCAAATGACATAAACATTGAAGTATTGAGGAAAATGAGATCTGATGTGAAACACATTGAAAACACCTCTGGACTTCATATATTTACCATTTACTTCTGAAAACCTGAAAAACGTACAAATAAAAGATGGGAGTTCTGTTTAAAAAAAAAATCTTATTTAAAGAAAAAACATTTAAGTGAAATGTATATATATATTTCTTTACAGTTTAAGATATAAAGAAAACTGTATAAATCTACAATGTACCCAAGCAGACTTTCTAAAATAGGAAACAGTCACTTTGCGGCTTCACATGCTGATTTCAGTAAATTATTTGTTCTTTAACAACTTCACTGCAGTGAATATGTAATAAAAGAAAGGATCTCGTTTCATTAGACCTGGATTATAATTTTAATCCGGAACAGCAGTGTTGTAACAAAACAGACAGAGGTTGGTTTTGTCTATACTGGTTACCAAACAGGTTATTTGGCCTAATTTCTGCCATTGTTTTTTCTCCAAGTTATTTTCCAACTGAGCTGATTGTAAAACAGCCCGATTTTAGTGGTAAAGGTTGGATAAAAATCGAAATGTCGCAGATTACTTACCGTAGTTTAGAACCGATGCGCAGGCTGCTGGGTGGACAGATGTCCCAAGAAGCGTCAACAAACAAAGGCAAAGTTTCAATGCGGACACTGTCATTTTCTTATGTCCTTTTTGGCGTTTTTCCTTCTAAGGCTTCATAAATTCACTATTTTATATGTCCGAATCCAGAGCGGTGAATCCGAGATAGACGATAAACGAACTCCAGAACAGAAAGTGACCAACCAACCACCCACATCAACCTGCTGTCAGCTGTGGTGCTGTCAAGCTCGTGTCATCACTTCCGGTTATGGCGTATAAATAATTAAAAAAAAAAAAAAAAAAAACGGCGAAAAAGTCTACCAAAATATATATATATATATATATATATATATATATATATATATATATATATATATATATATATATATATATATATATATATACTAAGCGTGATTCACAACTAAGGAGAAAAATAAATAATATAAGGTGATGACTGAGCTATATTTTCAAAGATAAAAATTACATAAATAAAAAATTATTACTGAAACCATAGCCTATTAAATCAATAAATATATCACATATTTGTGTTGGAAAAAAAAAATTCTGTCCCTGAGATTATGTAAAAGTGTCTTTCAACGAGCGTTTTGCAACATAGTTGCAACATCTTTCAACATAGTTGTCTGAGCAATATTGAATACTTTTAATCTGAAGTTAATCCATTTCCGGTTTTGTTTTGCCATCAGTGCTCTATACTAAACGATTGTACACAGTCACACCCAAAAACCTTTTATCACATTATACAAAGTGCATTCTAGACCAACCCCCGCCCCCATTTGCGCCATATATATATA